ATTGTTAAGGGTTTGGGTGCCAATAAGTTTTGTGCGAAAGTTTTGGGCGAAAGTTTTGGGCAGTTTTTCTTTTGGAACCACATTTTGAATCCGGGGCTGGGTGCTGGGCTGGGTTGGGCTGGATGGAGGGGCTGGGCTGGGCTGGGCTGGGCGCTGGGCTGTGCTGGGCTGCTGGGCCATAGGGCTGGGCTGTCGCTGGGCTGGGCTGGCTGGATGGGCTGGCAGCTGAAAATTCGTAAATGAAACGGAAATTGGTTTATTCGAAAATGGAAAGGTGTGTCTCCTCCGAAAAAAAAGAGCTTCCGGATAGCCAACAGCAACAAGCAATTTCTATTTATTTCTTTCTTGAGGGTTTAGGGTTTGGGGTGTTTAGGGTTTAGGGTGTAGTATTCAGGGTTTAGGGGGTTGGGGGGTTTGGGGCTTGGGGTTCCTTTATTGAAGGGTGTCTATTAAGTAGTCATCAGGGTTCTAATGAAGTAATTCAGCCGATGTTGCTGTTTAGGGCTTGGGGGCGAGCTGGTCATCATCAACCGCAAGATTGATGCTCACGTATGTTAGTCGCTATGTTGCTAGTTAATTTTGTGTTCGGTTGCGGTGCCTATTGTTGCTGTTGCTGTTGCTGCTGTTGTTGGTGGTGGTGCTGCCTATTGTTGCGGTTGCTGTTGCTGCTGGTGTTGGTGGTGCTGTTGGTGCTGGTGGTTAAACCCTAAAGCCACACCCTAAACCCTAAACCCCTAAGCCCTAAACAAATATGCAATCTTTGTGATACCCTAAACCCGACACTCCGAATCTTGACCTGCCTGGTTCTTAGCAGGGAATGATAGATTGGATTCCTATGATAGCCCCTTGAAGGCATAAGGGTTCCTTTTGAGGTTCCTGAAAGTAGCCCGTATCATCCATTCCCTCATTCCGCGCTGGGAACCCGGGAGTAACAGGCCTCGATCAGCACTTGAATCGATTCGGCCTTCCACGGCGTCTCAAAGGTGCTGATGGAAACAAAAAGCACGAGAATCGGCGCTTCGGATACAGAGTACAATCACACACAATCAGCATAATCATTAACTATGTGTATATATATATGTGCATTTTACTATTCAACACACTAATTGCTAATGATAATAGTACAGTACACGTTCTGCTCATGATAGCTAGTCATAATAAATCATAGTGAACCGAAACAATAGCGACAGTAATCATAACAGCAGTAACAAGGAACTTCAGGGTAGGGCGTTGGGTTGCATGAGTCGGTCGCTCAAGCCGAGTCAAAACGATGTAAAACTGCACGTCTAGTGTCCTACGCAGGCAAATACCCGAGTCTGAGGGACTCCTTTCTGGCTTTAGGGTTTTAGGGCCTTAGGCTTTAGGGCTTTAGGGCTTTAGGGTTTTAAGGTTTTAAGGTTTTAGGCTTTAGGGTTTAGGGCCAGTTTAGGGTGCTTACGCTTCAATCTAGGGGTTGCAAGCAATTGCAATGAGGGGCCTAAATAATTACCCTTAGCATCAAAATATCCCAAAAGCCTCATATAATAGGGTCTTTGGGCCCAAAAGCCTTAAAATATGAGTCCTTCGATGCTAAAGGTTAGGGTGCCAAAACAGCAATGAAAAATACTTAGGCCCCTATAGTATGGGTAGTTCTCTACATCAGGGTCCCTTTCCAGGTCCCGCATATAGTACGGCACCCGTATTAAAAGGACCCTAAAAGGAACCTTAATTTAGAGAACTACCCATACGGTTGCATAGAGGACTTCAGGAGGCTTTGAGCCCCCCGAGATCCTCAAAACCCGAAGCCCTGGCCTAAAGCCCATAGAACCCTCAGGTCTTCGGGCTTAGGGCTTAGGGGCTTGGAGTTTAGGGTTTAGGGTCTTAGGGTCTTAGGGGTTTAGGGTTTAGGTTTGAGTGTTTACGGCTTAACATCTCAGGAAAAGCTTGAAAGCACCTGTATGACTTCGCTGACATCCCCTTCGCACCACAATGCCAGACGTCAAATCCTACAACTCGAAGCCGAAAGTGCCAATGCGCAAATATTCAAAATCGACCCCCTGAAGTCCGAAGCCATAAACCCCATAAGCCCTAAACCCTTAAATCCTTGAGCCCTAAACCCTAAAACCCTTGAACCCTAAAACCCTAAACCACCATAAGCCCTGAACCCTCGAACCCTTGAACCCAAAACCCTAAACCCGAACCAAAAAGCCAGACAAGTGAGCGCTGAACCTCGCCCGCCCCGGCAGCTTTCACCAACGGCGACATCCAATGTCGACCTGTTTTAATTGTAAACCCGAAACCCTATAAACTCCTAAACCCCTAACCCCTAAACCCTATAATGCCCTATAAGCCCCTATAAACCCCTATAAACCCCTATAAGCCCCTAAACCCCTATAAACCCCTAAACCGCTATAAACCCCTAAACCCCTAAACCGAATGGGCAAGGCTTATTCGTTCCCTGAGCCCCTGGAAAACGTTCCGCCGCAACTCTCCATTGATTATGGAAACTGCCATTTTCATCTCGAGGTCGCTGACTGTGCGCAGCTCTTGCTTGCGGACACCCTCAGCCAGTCTCTTGATATGGAATGCCGTCTGGCCCTGCCACGAGTGAACAGGGATCGCCAGGCAGGGTAGGACCATGGTATCCATTAGGTCGCGGAATGCTGCAGACCAGAACTTGGTGGAAATGCAGGTGAACTGGCTAAAGCTACAAGTCCTGCTGTTGATGATATACGTCCTGCATAACCTTACCGTTAGCATCGAAGGACTCATACTGTAAGGCTTTTGGGCCCAAAAAACCCTATTATAAAAGGCTTTTGGGCTATTTTGAGGCTAAGGGTTAAGGACCCTGAACTAAGGGAATTACAGTATATTCCTTTTTAAATACGTAATGCAGGATTTATATCATCAACAGTACCTTCTTGAGCGCCCAGTTAAGGGGTCAGGGGACGTGGGGATACCCCGAAAAAGGTTTGGGTTTAGGGTTTAGGGTTTAGGGTTTAGGGTTTGGGGTCCTGGGGTGACACCCATAGGGTAACCCTACAAAGCTGCAGGGTGAAACCCAGGAAAAACCGCCGGAACGCTGAAGCGGCGCTAAGCTCTACAAGAATACAAACCGTCAAGCCTGAACACAACAAGCTCGCAAACCCGAAACCCTATACGGCTTACCGAAATAAAAACCGCGAATAAGGGACCCTAAACCCTAAACCCTATAAACCCTTTGAATAAAGCGAAGCCTGAACTTTAAGCAAACATCGGAAATCCTGACAAGCCATTACGCAACATTGCAACACAGCTCCCTTGCTGCCTATTCAGGCCTGGCTAAAAGCTTCCGAAAACCGGAGAAACCCAAACAAAGTGGAGAACTCGAAAACGGCTTAGGACTGAAATTAGCGGGATCCGAAACTCCGAAACTCCAAACCCCTATAAACCCTAACCCTCCACCCTGACGATTCGGCAATTTGTGGATGGAACCCCGCTGGGACCTCGGGGAAAGCGCAGAGGGCAGCCTGAGGAAGGCATGCAGTGGAGGGTCTTGCACGTGGTAGGGTTTAGGGGTTTAGGGTTTAGGGGTGTAGGGTTTAGGGTTTAGGGTTGGGTTTTACCTAGACCCTTAAATGTAGTACCTTTTTTTGGTTCCCTTAGTTTCTGATTATAGGATCCTAACCATAAAATAGGTCACCCAATAAAAGGTACTACATTTAAAGGGTTCCGACTTATCAAGTTTATCCTAAGCCCTAAACCGTGGGTTTAGGGCCCAAAGTTCGGAATCTGGGTTCAAGGGTAGCTACAAGCCAGCATGGAGAAGCGTTCGGCTGTCTGGTGCTGGGTCGTGGCCACCGCACCACGGATCCTGACTTCCTTGTACCATCCATTGCCCAGCTCTGTCGTTGACGCAGCTTCTTGCGGAGTCTTCCGCTTACGGTTTGCCTGCTCTGCACGGAGCATTGCTAGCTGCTGAGCTGGGGCAATCGGAAGGACGGCATCCGCTGCCGCCAAAGCCGCTTCATGCACCGGACACAAGTCCAGCGCTGACAGCTCCACAGTCAACAAGCGGCCGCACTCTCTCTTGAACACCACATCTCCGCTTGCGGATCGCCTGAGCATTCGGATACGATTAACTATTCAGATCTCTGAAGTTCAAGGGCTTGGATAGAGGAGTCTTCCTGAAGAGGGTGTCTTTGGTGGGGTTGCCGAGTTGGCATATCATTGATAAGTTACTAGGGACCCCGCCAAAAAAGTAGGCTTGAGTAGTTGAGGGATCAAAACACATGATGACGACGCAGATTGCTATCCGCTGAGATGATAACTGGTCCATGGTCCATGGCTATTTCCTGATCGGTAGGAAACCCTATCAACCCTAAACCCTTGATGTGCATAGACTCGACCGTACCGGGCCATTTTTGTAGGAGCCGAGCTACGTTTCACAGCGAATCTGTTGGGTATGTTGCAATGTAAGGGGCAAAATGCTGCTGGTAAGGGGCAACATGCTGCTGACTGCGGTTTCCTGGTTTGGACCCTAAACCCTATATAAACCTATGGGATCATACATTAGCAAACCGATGCGGCAGTCGTATCCGAAGGAGTCTACTGCAGAGGAGGCCGGGCCCATTGCGTGGCAGCTTCCGGAATCTAAAGCCTAAGCCCTAATACCTAAACCCTAAAACACCGCTAAAAGAGGGGACCCGCATGTTGAAGTAGAACTCGGCAACAGATCCTTGCGAAGCCCAGGAGGCTCGAGGCCTCGGGCTAAACAGGCCTAAACTTCGACTCTCTCTGCGAAAGTGCGACTCGTAGGCACGAAGGACGCTGGTCTAGGGTTTAGGGTTCATAGGGTCTTAGGGTGGTTTAGGTGTTACGGATAATTACAAGCAAGCACCCTACATGAGCCCTAAAAAACTCCAAAGAAAACTCTAAACCCCAAAAACCCAACATCCCGAACACACCTCTGCCAGCCTCCGTCTTCGCTCCGCTGCCAAAAGTCACTTCTGCTCTCTGCACGGAGGAGCCATCGGAGCCAGGGGGCAGCTCGAGGCTCCTTCTCCCAAAGAGCCCCCTTAACCCCTTAATTAAGGAATATACTTTAGGGGCTTAATAGTACTATTTAAGGTATATTCCTTAATTAAGGAATATACCTTAAATTACAAGGGGCTTATGATTATTACTATTACTTAAAGTCTGTTCCTGAATTAAGGGGTATTGGGCTCTCTGGGTTCTTCAGGGTGTAGGATTTAGATGAGTGGGGCTCGGGGCCTTTAGGCTCCTGTTTCAGGAAGGACTAGGGTTTAATTAGGGTTTAGGGTTTGGGGTTTAGGGTTTGGGCCTCTATAATAGGGTGTAGGTTGGGTTGGGCTCCTTTTTCAGGAAGGGGGGTTTAGGGTTTGGGCTTCAGGCTCTGGGCTTTACTTTTTAGGGTTTGGGGTTGCGGCTCTGGGCTCGAAAAGGGTGTAGGAGTTAGATATGTAGGGCTTTGGGTCCTTCGGGCTCCCTTTCCCTAAGGGTCCAAGTGCCCAATGATCATATGCTCTTCTGAAGACTAACCTGCAAAACTACTATCCGCAACCCAAGTACATGAGTATTAGGTCCTTTGGACCCTTAGGGTTTCTGCGGGATGATCGGGCTTCGGGGTTTGAGGGTTTAGGGTTTAGGACTTCGGGCTCCTGTTCGAGGGACGATTGGGCTCAGGACTTAGGGTTTTAGGGTTTAGGGTGTTAGGACTTAGAGTTTAGGGTTTAGGGTTTAGGGTTCAGGACTTAGGGTTACTTTTAAGGGATTAGGTGCAAACAGGGTTAGGGTTTTGGGATACTTCAAGGTTAATAAGCTCGAAGGGTCCCTTTAAGGGTACCTAAGGATATCGAAAGAGTTCCTTAACTTGCGCTCCGTCTTGCTTTCTAGGGTTGAGGCTGGAGGGCGTCGAACATACAAGCTGCGGGGTCTAGTGAGAGTTTAGGGTGCATCTTTAAGTTTAGGGTCTATAGGGGTGCATTCTGATGTTTTGGTTTCGTGCCGCTGCTGTGTTTATTATCTATGTGCTAATTGACAGGTCACCAGGTTCTGACTGACATGGATTTATTCATCAACCAATGCCGTACGACGTCGAGAAACGTCCGCAGGAATTTTTAATCCTCATCAAGGGACACTGACAAAGGACATGGATATGGGGGGTACGCACCAAACCAGGGCTGCTTAGAGATGTCCTTACGTCTCTACCGTCGAGTGCCCCCTAGAATGTATGCAGCAACAGGTGCAGAGCCTATCAAAGCCTCGAAGCCACACCCAACATCTGTTAAGATTCAAATGCGGTATGGCTCCATCCGAGACTTGTCCCATCTCAGCCCGGCCAGCCGAACCTGTCGTAGGCTTGCGCTGATGCAACTCGTAAAGGTATATAGCTTAAAGTCTCACCCACAGTAACAAAACCTGCGTCCGAAAGAACACGATCTTCCATACACTCGCAACACACGCCGTAGGATATTGTCCTGTGCGGCAAAACTGCAATGGGTGCACTTGTCGAACTTCCCTGCCTGACCTCCTGAAGCCGGAGGAAACCCTCATCCCCAAAGCGTAAACCCTATAAAGCCCGCAGAAACCCTAAACCCTAGACCCAGTCCTGCGCGAACCAAGAGAGCAGGAAGAGAAGGTTTCCTTCGCAGCTTTCCTCCTCGTCTGCCTCCTGCTCGGAGGTCAAGCGAAGTTTGAAGGTTGCCGGCTTTACGGGTTGAGGGGTTGAGGGTGTTATAAGCCCAAAAAGTCCCATTAAGTGCCTATCTAGTAGAATGTAGGTGCGTTTCTATACTAGAAACTGTTATTCCCTATAGGTACTTCGGAATCCCAAAACCCTAAACCCGACACCCTAAACCCTAAAAACTAAACTCTAAAACCCCAAAACACTAAACCCGACACACTAAACCCCTAAACCCAAAACCCCTAAAACCCCAAAACCCCTAAAAACCCCAAAACCCTAAACCCGACACCCTAAGCCCCAAAACCCTAAACCCCCAAAGCCCCAAACCCCTAAAACCCCAAAACCCAAAGCCCTAAGGCCCGAAAACCCCAAAACCCCAAAACCCTCAACCCTAAACCCTTAAAAGCCCAAACCCCTAACACCCCAAAACCCCAAACCCCTAAAACCCCGAAAACCCCTAAACCCGACACCCTAAGCCCCTCGAGTCTTTTCAAAAGAGACTCCAAGTATACAAATAGTACCCACTTTGGGGTCTAAAGTCTATAAATAGTACCTAGTTTGGGCTACTTACCCTAAACCCAAAACCCTAAACCCTATAAACCTAAACCCTATAAACCTAAACCCTAAACCCTATAAACCTAAACCCTAAACCCTATAACCCCTAAGCCTTATAAACCCTAAACTCTGTTTGGGTCCTGGCTGAGCTCCGAGTCGCTCCACGGGGAAGCGTCGCGAGAGGAGGGCCGCCGGCCCTCCGCCTTTACGGTTTAGGGGTTTAGGGGTTTAGGGTTTAGGAGTTTAGGGTTTAGGACTTCGAGGGCTTTGGGGTTTAGGGGGTTTTAGGGGCTTTGGAGCTTTAGGGTTTTAGGGTTTTGGAGTTTTGGGTTTAGGGGCTTCGGGGTTTTAGGGTTTATATAGGGCTTCGAAGGCTTAGGGGGTTTTAGGGCTTGTAGGGTTTTTGGGTGCGGGTTTTGGGGCTTTAGGGTTTAGGGGCTTTGGGGTTTTCGGGTTTCAGGTGCTTGAATTGAAAGGGTTTAGGTTTTTTTGGGGTTTAGGGGTTTTAGGGTTTTAGGGGTTCTAGGGTTTTGGGGTTTTTGGGGTTTTCAGGGGCTTTGGAGTTTTAGGGTTTTGGGGCTTTGGGGTTTGAGGGTTTTAGGGTTTAGGGGCTTTGGGGTTTGGGGGCTTTAGGGGTTTAGGGCTTTAGGGTTTAGGGGGTTTGGGTTTTAGGGTTTGGGGTTTTAGGGTTTTGGGGCTTTGGGGTATACTCTCTCACACACTAACCTACCGAACTACTAGCCGGGCGCTTAGAAGTCACCTAGAAAAACAAACATCAACTAAGCAGGATGTGGGATCGGGGTTAGTTAATCAGGACGATGGTGCCAGCCACTGTCACTGCTGCTCCGAAAGTCTTCGGTCCAACAAACACAGACATAGTTGTTCAGGCAAGCATTTTGCGCAAGCCCTAAACCGCAGTGGAGCCAATTGAACCAAACTTTCCATACGTAAGACATGTTCCTGACAACAGGGAGTAATTTAGTCATTGGATACTGGAGTCTTTGTATTGTAGAGCTGACAGCAGGCCTGACAAAACCAAAGCGACGGTCACTTCGGAATGAGTCCCGTTGCATGCTCAGGGTTTAGGGTTTAGGATTTGGGGTTTAGGGTTTAGGGTTAGGTGCCCGACAGACTCTTGCACCCGACCAAGATGCCTGAATGCCACATAGAACTGGGGTTTCGGGGGGCTGTACGCCATACGGATGGTAGGGAACCTATCTATCCAGCCTAGCGTGAGGCCCTGAATCCCAAAACCCTGGCAAAAGGTTCAGTTTTGCTCCGTCGCACGGTCTTCACCCGCATGAATATGCAGCTCAGGCATCTGAGCAACGCACAAATGGGGTTTATTGAAACTCTGACCCTCTGATGTGTCGGCGCCAGGTAGGACAGTCTGCTCAGATTCAGACTGCTCCATAACAAGGATCTTACGGGCTGAACCCTACAAGCCCTAACGAAGCCGGGCTGCTAGGCCTTGCGGCCTTCACGGTATGACATCACTACTCTTCCATGGACCGTGGAGGCCAAAGTACTAAGTATAGGCCTATAAGGAGAATTTTAAGATTCTAGAGAACACGCAGGAAGCGTGTTAATGGCATAGAGGGGGCCTTGTTCGGGCATATCATAGCAGTCTTGTAGTAAGGAGCCCTAAGGAAGCATATCGGCACTTCAGGGCTTAGGGTTTACCCCTAGGCCCCTAAGTAGTTCCTTTTTGGGATTACCTTATAGGATTCCAAAGATCAGCCACAAAAAGGAACTACTTCGGGGCCTATGCGTACAGGGTTGAGGGCCCTGGGTCTGCTCCGGCTTCGAGATTGTTCTTTCCTGCCCTGGGGGGCGAACCGCCGTCCGATGCTCCAAAATTCTCCACGGGACGGGTGAAACCAGGGAACATCGCCACGGCAAAAGCAGGATGAACCAAGAGGGTTTTGGGAGGTTGGCGTGGGAGAGCTTCGGGTGTATGGTGTAGGGTTTCGGGCTGAGTCTAGCAAAGGCTCGATTTTTTGAATCCTGCGGTGCGGCCGGTGGCTGGGAAATTCGGAATGGATTGCAGGACATCCGAGAGGGACTAGCTGCTTCATGGCTTAGTATTGTCTTTCCATCAGAGACTAGGATTGGGGTTTAGGGTTAGGGGTTCATGTGCAACCGACTACTGAGAAACCCACATGAAGAAGCTTACCACTGGCACCTTGTGAACTAAACGGCCTCGTCATTGTCACGAATTTCACTTTAGCTCCCCTCAAGCCTGCAAGCAGTCGGGTTCAGTACAGGAGCCGCCCCAAACATTAGAGCAAGATTTTTGGGGGTAGTCTATATCACGGACCGCTGGTAGAATGGAGAGATGCCAGTACAAATTATTCCGACTGTAGTATCACAGTAGCTCACCGAAACCCATCCCTGGTGTCCAGGGGACTTAAGTCCAAAGGATTGAGGGGGTCCTAAAGACTGGAAGTTTCAGGCTGAAGGTGCGTAAGGGTCCGCACTCTTCAAGGGTTAAGGGGTCTCAGGGGACTTTCGGAGTCAGAAAACCCACCCGAAACCCCTAAACCCTAAACCCACAGAGACTCGGCGTCTGGGTTCAGGGCTGAATATTCCCGACCCTAAACCCTAAACTGGACAGAACCGCCAGGAGTGGAGGATGTACGATTTGGGTTTTTTATAGGGGGTCGATTCTCATAGGATTCTTAACATGGTACAGTAACATGAGCAATACCATACCTGTGACTATGGCAGTACTAAATGCCAGCAGCCAGTACCATGCTGGCTTCTTCAGAAGCCAACATTCCTGCGGATGAGGCTGGGTGACATATCACGCAACCTTTTGGCAAATGCGTATCGTGCAAAGTGCTGTTGGAGATTGCTGGACCCTCTTCGATGGGGCACGTCAAGCGAAACCCTAGAGCCCACCAGGACGAAAAGGACCTCTTCAACCCTAAACCCTGGCCCTAAACCCTTAACCCTAAACCCTACTTCAACCCTCCATATATTATCGTTTCCCCGAGCGCTATCATGAACCACGGTCTCCTACTTGAGAGCCGCTCCGCCCAGTGCAAGACCTGAGGCTCGCTGAATGTAACACCTCTACCTATGCCAACATCGGTAGCACGTTGTGCAGTTCTCGTGGTATTAATGTCGTGATTCCAGGGTCGAAACTCGGCGGGTCTGTTGTCACCAAGGTTGCGGTATGTTGTAGTCATCGAACTATCGTCAGTAAAGTGCCAATAGAGTTCTTGCTGCCCAGACCTTCGAAAATCCCTTATTTGAGGAATGTTCATTACATCCTCTAAGGGATCCTACTATAAGTTAAGGTATATGCTAAGGTATATTTCCGTGCTTAAGGGATGTGGGAATGTCTGGATACTTAGGAAAACGCCTGAGCAATGGCCACTCTGTCGCCATGACAAAGTTACATGTAAACACGATCATGCGTTTCCCATGTTGCCATAGCATTCGCTAACAGGCAGGGATTCCAATCATCGCGTAACTGCAAGAAGAAGACTGTAGAATCGGTAGAAAGAGGTCCAACAGCACCAACGTTGAAAAATGTCAATTGAGTTGACGGCCAACAGCTCATGAACTTTAAAATAACCCCGAAGCCAAGTTCTGTGCCTCACACTGACACGGTCTCATGGCCAACGACACAATGATCTTCGCAGTGCTTGCCAGTTTCGGCTTCCTGGTGTGCCACAACGTTAGTTGACACCATCCCTTCCGTTTGTCTGGCCTGATAGCGGAGAGCCAACCATGATGTCATAGCCAGTATGATGGAACCTGGGGTGTAGTCTCGGGGCCCTTATTAAACGTATTTATGAGCAGGTACCTCTATAAGAACCACAGGGCAACTTTAAAGGTTTCCCAAAGTGCCACCTAGGAACCCATCATCCAAAGAGCCGAGGAAGTAGCATCCTCCACGAGCCGGGACGTCCACTGGCCACCAAAGGACAGTGCCGCCAGCACGAAGGCCACGACCATGGTTTTCCTTGGTTCTTAAGTAGCCTCTTTATAATAAGGGTACCCTTTTTCCTACTATTCGGTTTTAATAAGGGGGCCCTAAAATAAAGAGGGCAAAAGGGTACTACTCAGGGACCTAGTTTCAGCCTGTCCAGCCATACGTGGCTCTGCTTTCGGCGGAAGAAGTTTGCCAAGAGTAAAGTGGCTTGAAAGACGAAAGGAAACAGAAAGAGACACCACGTCAGGCCGGCTAAGAACACAAGTGCGGCCATCTTCCAATGTCCATCCCGGGCACGCGCAGCACTTAAATCTGCGAAGCTCCAGAACAGAGGCAAAGCGCCAAGGACTTGCCAACCATACGGAAACAGCAATCCTCCCAACTGGCGGTACAGCATCTGCCTGACGCGAGTCCTTATTGTCACCTCGAAGGCCTCGACGGACCCGTGCCAGCTTTGAATGCATCGCCCGATAATCGCACGATCACAAACATCGGCACAACAAATCTCTCCGTCGTTGCAGCAATGACAAGCGGCATCTCGGATCGTAAAATCGGAAAGCTGTTTGAGCAAAACCTCCGCGTTGCGATAATGATCACGCATATAGGATGCCGCCATGTACAAAAAGACCCATCGTGACAGCACAAGGACCAAAGTGTCCCAAGCAGATCGCTCATGAACCAAAACCTGTAGCATGGAAGCCCATAGGCCAAAGCCAATTCCCAAAATGCATGGAGCCATGGCTGTCAGCCTGATAGTAACTTTCTTCTCTGGCTGTTCATGACTTTTCAGGAACGCGGCCAGCTCTAACAGGCACCACAAGCGCCCAGCGTAAGTGCAGTCCCAGACAAGCAGAAAATGCTGGGAGTACTTCACCATGGCACCAATGCCAATGATTCCACGTGTTTTTTGGTCTGGGTTCGTCTGATCGATACATATTTGGTCGAAGAAGACTAGGCACCTGGATTTCCACAGCAGAAGAACAACTACAAAAACAAGCCCTGCGCTCAGTGTGCACCACGGGCCAAAGACCATCTCTATTCCTCGATCCAGCGGTGTAGTGCTCACCCGCAGGACACCTGGCAACAATCCAGCAATGTGCAAGCACATCGTCAGCAAAGCTGTGATCGTGGCAGCTATCGCTGCAGCAGGCCCATTGTAAAGCAAGAGCAACAAGAGCGTCTTCATGTAGTTGTTGCCATGCCAGCTGTGGCTCCAGAAAACTTGGATCCAATTCACCGGAAAACTGCGCTCGTAAAGACCCTTCGGGGTCCACCGCAATGCCGCGCCGAAGGAATGCAGCACCTGCCAGGCCGGAGTGGCCCGGAGGAGATCAGGGGATACAGGTTCCATGCTGGCTACGCGCCCAGCCATGTCGTCCAGAAACGAGTCCTCATCGCTCCTGTCGCACGATGACTCAGATTCACTGGCATCTGCCATGGTCTTTGGGGAAGTGGCGAAACCTAAGCAAACTTCCTAGGCGAGGAATGTTCCTGCAAGGCATGCGCAGAAAGTATTCAGTGAAGCATGTTGTAAGCCTTAAGCCCCGTCAGTCGTCCTTGTTCTGTCTGACACTTGCATGTTCAGAGATGCACAGTGCACAGAACCGAAATGACGGAATCTAAACGGCTGCACATGGTGGTGTCAACTTACTACTACTACTACTACTACTACTACTACTACTACTACTCCCACCGCCACTACGACTACGACGACGACTACTATCACTACTTCTACTACTACTGATACTGCTACTACTGCTACCTACTACCTACTCACTACCCACCATCCACTACCCACCGACCACCCACCACCGACCACCGACCACCGACCACCTCCCACCTACCACCTACTACGTGCTACCTGCTACCTGCCTGCTGCCTGCTGCCTGCTACCTACTCCCTACTCCCTATACTACCTACTACTACTAATTACTACTACTACTACTACTACTACTACGACGACGACGACGACTACTACTACTACTACTACCACGACGACGACGACGACGACTGCTACTGCTACTACTACCACTACCACTACCACTGCCACTGCCACTGCCACTGCCACTGCCACTACCACTACTACTACTACTACTACTACTTCT